CACACACACACACACACACACACACACACACACACACACACACACACACACACACACACACACACACACACACACACACACACACACACACACAGTGTTAAACTGCACCGTATTCCTGATGACCAGAGCCCATCCTCTGGCTTCTTTACTCTTCATTCCATCCAGGAAGAGTGCACACACCAAGTGCAGATGTTTCCTTAGCCTGATGAAGGGTTTTTAAGCCTGAAAGCTTGCTAAGAACATTTTTTTCCAACTATTTAAGTTGGTCTAATAAAACATATCAGATTCACTCAAAGAACCTTGTCTGCTGATGACCCGGAGAGCATTCTAGGCAGCTGAACCTCCATTGACTTCAACCTTAACATACAGCCCGGTGGACTTCTCTAGTATTTAATTATGAGAATTATACATGTGGCTTAATGTCAGTGACAGTGTAAACATTTACACCAGTCAAGGAACATCCCCTTCATTTTTATTGTGGCAGTTGGTCAAAAATCAGTGAAAAGGAGAAGACCAACGTCATGTAATTTGGGCAGGTAAGCCACATCCGCCAATCTAATGTTTCAAGCCAAAGGCAGAGGTTTACTCACACGTGTCTGTGCACCGATATTCTCTAATCAAGGGTGACCTGCTTTCATTTGACTCCCAAAAGCAATTAAAAGGTCAGTTTTCTGCCCAGTAAGAACCCCCATTCTGCAATATGGGCAGTGCCTTTGAGACGAGGCCTCACGATGCTTCCCACTTTTTTCCAGAAGAGGAACCCCTTCATTATTTCAGACTGTTCATTAGCCATCGCTCTGCTTGTGACAGCCTGGTGGTATAGAGTTGCTCCAACAAACTCTCCTCAATTTACCCTCCAGTCAGAAAAGAAAGACCTCTTTTCTGGTGCAACGTGACAAAAAAGCCCACGCTCCTTAATGCAGCTGCAATTTGACTGGACCTGCCAGCAATCAGAAGCAGGCGTCTCTGCACTGTACCGAAGTTCAAGTGTGTCGAAACAACAAATGAAGTAAGTGAGCATTCATTTTCTCAAAAATACGTTTTTAAAGAGGATGCATAAATTCATCAAGCTGGAAGCCTGGCCCACTCAAGAACTTGTTACCATGACAATTTAGAAGCGGATACCACTACAGAATAAACTAACTGAAGTTACTGATTAACCTTCTTGCAAGCTGATCTCCAGGTTTAAAGTTTTCGGCAAACAGAACCGCTTTTCCATCAGTCTGTTAATATGCTGAGAACCTGAGCAAAACGCTTCAGTGGCAAAGTAAGTTCCATGATAAATGTGGTTTCCAAGCTGTGCACCAGTCACGCCGCTATAAAATCAGAATAATTCATGCAAAAATTTTCATTATGTTTCTAAACATACTTATTTACATTTTAAATCACACATTAGACAATATGAAGCATCCTTCACTTAGGCAGGTGTGAACAAGAAAACAGATGCATCCATTAAACATAAAACAATTCAATGAATTAAAAAAAAATACTTGCCAAACTCTTTGGCTGAAGTACTTTAGCCCCTGTTTCACTTACTTGGAAAAACACAGCCATGGCACCTATTATCCTGTTTTCTAAAATCGCTGCTCCAAAGCTGTCAAAGTCGTCAGGATTGTAGAAGTAAATCTGCATCTGTAAAAATTAACAAAAATCAAACTGTCATTTCAGACCAGTTTCAAATACAGTTATATACACAATACTGTACTTAGATCAAATGTTACCAATCCAAGATAAACATTATTGCAGAGCAGAAGTCCTTTAACCAGCATCTTGATTAATGGCCTGACTGCTTTGCTGGAACAGTAACCAGGAAACAGATTCAATGCAATGCATTTTAATAACAAAACTAATGGATAAACAACACAGCCGGTCTGTTTAGATGGCAAACTTGGTGCTTTCTGCCACCCTATCCACATTTCTGTGTTCATAGTTTCATAGATGTTAGGGTCGGAAGGGACCTCAGCAGGTCATCGAGTCCGACCCCCTGCCCTGGGCAGGAAAGAGCGCTGGGGTCAGACGATCCCAGCCAGATGCTTGTCCAGTCTCCCCTTGAAGACCCCCAGGGTAGGGGCGAGCACCACCTCCCTTGGAGCCCGTTCCAAATTCTGACAACCCTCACCGTAAAGAAGTTCTTCCTAATGTCCACCCTAAATCTGCTCTCCATCAATTCATGGCCACTGTTCCTAGCTACTCCAGGGGTGCCCTAGTAAATAGAGCACCTCCTATTCCCTGCTGCCCTCCCCGATGGATTCATAGGCAACCACAAGATCACCTTCTCTTGTGGAGGCTGAACAGATCCAGGTCCCTCAGTCTCTCCTCAAAGGGCCTTGCCTCTGACCATATGACTGGCCTCCTCTGGACCCTCTCGAGGTTGTCCACATCACTCTTGAAGTGCGGCGCCCAAAACTGGAGGCAGTACTCCAACTGCAGCCTGACCGGTGCCGCGTAGAAGGGAGGCATCACCCCCCTGGATGTGTTTGCCATGCATCTACTGATGCATGATAAGGTGCGGTTAGCTTTACTGATCGCTTCGTCACATTGACGACTCGTGTTCATCTTGGGAGTCCACTATGACTCCAAGATCCCTCTCTGCTTCTGTGCTTCTGGGAAGGGCGTTCCCAGCCTGTAAGTGTGTTGGTGATTCCTTCTCCCCATGTGCAGCACTTTGCACTTGGTGTTGAACTGCACCCTATTTCATTCTGCCCACTTTTCCAACCTGTCCAAATCTGCCTGGATCTGTTCCCTACCCTCTGCTGTGTTAGCTGTGCCCAATAATTTGGTATCCTCTGTGAACTTGGACAGGGTGCTCTCCACGCCCTCTTCCAAGTCACTGCTGAAGACGTTGAACAGCACCAGTCCAAGGACCGAGCCTTGCTGGACTCCACTGCCCACGTCTTTCCAGGCCGATACCGACCTGTTCACCACCACTCTCTGGGTGCAACCCCTATGCCAATTTGCCACCCACCTGACCGTGTCACCATCTACATCCCAGCCTGTTAGTTTATTTACGAGGACAGAATGAGACATGCTTCTACTGGTTCGTTGACACCCAAGTCGCATCAAGCGTCCACAAAACAAAAAGAAAAAAAAAATATATATATCTAAATGATCTTCCTGGGATAATTTACAAGACACATTTACTTGTGCCTGGCTTTTGGCAAGCAGCCACTGGCTCTACAGCAGCTGCACACCCAATAAAACACTGTTATATGAAGAACAAGAAAGGTTGGTGGGAGATCACGGTGGATCACGGTAGAGACGATTTCTGTGAGTGGGAGGGGAGGACAAAAGAAAACTGCATGTTGGATGGGTCACAAAGAGCACGAAAACCCACTGGAATCCCCTCCCACCTGGCAGAGGTGGGAGACTTCGGCAACATCCTCCAAATATGAGGCCGACAGGTTTGGACAGCTTTTGCCTTGAACAAATATGAGCTGAGGAACATCCGCTCTTTGATGTTGAAATGTAAAACGTTTATATTTAAGGTCAAAGTGCTTGAGGTTCGATTTCATTAATAGGGGCAAGAGCTCACTATACGATGGTAAGTTACATTTTACATCCCTTTAAAACAAACAGCCTAAAAATTAGGTATGCCTGACATAAAATATTTTTATGTATAGCCCTCATAAGAATTTATGAAGGAAAGTCTCGTTCAGTGAGTTCAACATATGCCAACATCATTTTAAACCATTTCTGCTCACAGTGTTTTAAGGAAATTAATTTTTACTATACACTCTTGGATAACAGTACAAAGGGCTTTGGTAAAAAGGGGTTTAATTGAGATCCTGCATCTCAGCACTGCAATTACAGAGCCTAATCAAGAACCATGCTCTGCCCTGATTACCATGTGTGTTAAAACGTTCTCTGAGAGCTCCCTGAGTCCCTTTTTTCTTTTTTTTTTTTGCACAACATGGTTTTCCTAGTTGCATCAGTCAAATCAAGGGGAAATGTCTTGAATGAAAAATTATCTTCATCTGTCATACAGTAGCATCCATATATGGTAACATGGCTGGAAGGAACGTGTAAGAAGAACCTTCCAAGAAGTGCCATTATATAATTTACACATCCATCCATCCTACACACTTCCTCGTTGCATGGTTACATACTAAAAAAAAAATCACACACTACTGTTTGCAAACAAAGTCTTGACCCTGCACCTTTCTGCCCTTGTAGTCTGATACAGCTTTAATTATGGGATTGTATACTATTTCATCCCATAACACAATATCAGACATTTTTTCTGTAGTTTACAATACACCTCAGTTGCATCTTTTTATTCTTTTATATTTAACGCACTCTTCATTATCATAAGGAGCAAGCCACATACATTTTAATATATTTTCTTCCAGCAGCACAGCCTTCGTTAGCTGCAAATCAGGGGTGAGACAGTTAAAACATAAAGCTAACTTTACTGCATAATTAGGTGGCCTAAACATGCCAGCAAATTTTCATTATTACTCCTTATGATATAATTAATATATACAACGTGCTGAGTACTTTGCATACAAATGAGCTTCATGGACTCTATCTAGCGTACACACAGCTGTACTACGAAATACTGCAAAAGGGTGTTTAAAGCTGTAGAAAAAGTGTGTCCTATTAGAACTGTAATATGTGAGGAATGGCACAAAGAAGTAAATGATAAAATTGCAAATGCAACTTTGGGACATTTCTTGACTTTTGAGTGCTCAAATAAGTCATCCTGACATAGGTTTTGGGGTGCAACTTCACAACGATCTTTGTTCTGTTTTCCAAAAATGGAAAATACACACCCACTACACACATGCACACTAACACAGGCATGTGGTATTCTGAATGATGAACCTCTTGACACAAACATGTGTAAACCCCATAATCTGGAGCTATTTGCCTGGACGCTCCAAGAACATTGGTCCCATGCCCCTGCCGGAGCCCATTCAGACTGCTGTTGATGACAAACCTCCCTTGGATTAAAATCCACCTGCTTGAACCTCAAAACAGGGCCTGCTGCATGCAGTTTACTTGCACCCTCAGCCTCTCACCAGAACACAGCAAAAAACACATCTCTGATTTCTTTTTGGCTGCGATGCCTGCGGTCTGTCCTCCAGAAGAGCTATTGGAGACATCCCCATTGTTGCAGCCTGGGATGCTGTGGCAATTTGCTAATGCACCAGGAGACCTAAAGCACTGTACAGGTTTTCTCAGGTAAATTAATGCAGCAGATAGGAAAGAGAAGCAAAGATGAAGATTAAAACGGAGCCCAAAAGATTTGAGGGAGTTTAAAGTGCTGGCGAAACACTAGAAGCCAAGCAAGGATGCTCTGCGCAGCCAGATGCCAAGCATTGAAAAACGGAATAACTGAGGCTTTTCAAACTGAGCCGCTCTCACCCCTGAGCAACCTCTCTCAACAGCTTTCTCTTTAGATTAAAAAATGAAGGAGTCATTGTGGTGTCACAGATGCAGAATACAAAAATATTCAGTGATAGCAGGAACTCTGGTGTGTGGACAAGAAAGATCACTGGGATTAGCCTCCCGCTCCTTCCCTTCCCCACGCACTCCCTGACTACTAGGAACTATAAAGCACCTTAAAAAAATGTTGCAGGCCAGCCAATATTCTGATCAATCAACCAGCCACGCAGCAAGGTACAGGGTTATATGGGTTTATTGTGTACTGCTTTGAAAACCCAGAGTATTTTTAGAAGAACTGAACACATTCAGCTAGCAGGTAGACAGCAGGTCTGCACAGTGTGGAAACAAAAATCCTGCACGCTTTGATACAGGGAAGTTAATCACTCAACATACTAATCCTTAATTATTACCTTTTGCTGCTTGAACTGTAAGGAGAAATTATTCTCCACTGCTTTTACATCTGGATTTAAAACACCTTCCATAAAAAACAAATTGTTTGCTATGATTATGAATCATAGAAGATGATGATGATTCTTGGTTATTGAAAGCCTGTAACGCAGTTCATTTAGCTGGTTTTAAATAGGTATGCATATTTTTAGGAATGGGCTGATGCGATCCATTTGATTAAACATTTAAATGATCTAGGATACTCTAATCCCAAATCGTGCTGGGGAGGTCCCCTATAATGGTGGTTCTCAACCTTTTCCACCTTACGGCCCACCAACCATTTTGTCAAAAAACCCTGGTCCCACCATGGGAAAAACAAAACCTCACTTTTCCCAAGAAGTGTACTTTTACGTTTGCATGCATTTTAGTATTATATTAATCATTGATGGAAATTTTAAAGGACATTAAAAATTAAAAACTGCAATTAAAAAGTCCCACCTACAAGACCTTTGCATTGAGAAACACTGCCCTATCATTCGACAGCAGTTGGTGGAATTGTTTTAGTTACTTTGGTGTAATAAAAAAATTGGTCCCTAGTCTTATTTCTTTTCTGAGTGCATCTAAAACCGCTGATATGTTGCATATTCTACATCTGGTTGGTGCTGGGGGGAGAATGCTGGGGATGCATTAAAACTCTTTTTTCCCCCCAGGAAACAGTTGCATGGGAATGGACAGAGGCCTGGTGATTCTACAAACCCAGCAGCATTTTTCACTTTATTTTCATAGGCAAAGGGCTGTCTCACTAACGCTATCACTTTAGCATTTTGCAGAGTCTAAAATTGTGCTAAGCAAATTAC